GTGTGTGTGTGTGTGTGTGGTGTGTGTGTGTGTGTGTGTGTGTGTGTTGCAGATACGGAACATGGGCAGCGGATGTGTATGGAGATCAAACACTTTGTGTCAGGAGTCCGATCCGCCTGGAGAGCTGTGTGAAATCGCGGGGCGAGGTGGGCTGGAGTCACGGCCAGGTGAGGGTCATTCATTTCTCTTTCTCTGGAGGTTTTTACATTCACACGTTTATGGAGTATGGATCATGAAGAGCTGCATGTGTCTGAAAGGACAATGACATCTGAACTCACATTAATATATGGTTCATTGTTGAAGCATTTCAGGGGGGGTGCACAAACTCCATCCTTCATACTGGCTGTGCGCTAAAAGGCTAAGTGGACACGGGGCCTTACTGTATACTTTAAACAAACATGCAGTGAGATTTCTTGCGCTTATCAGGGCCAGGTCGCTGTGGCAGCAGCAGCAGTGTTGCCAGATGGAAAATTGAGCGATATACTGTTCTGCAGCTTTAAAATTATCATGTTTTTTCTCAAAACTATGGTACATTTGGTAGAGATAAAATGAGAACGTGTGCTAGCTGCTCTGTCTGCTGGTGTGTAGCTAAGCTCTTAGCATCTTTGTTTGTTTGGAGGAAACTCATTTTGGGCGTTTGTATCCATGATGTCATTCTTTCGGTCACTTCCCAAAGCTCATGACCATAGGCGAGGGCAAAGGTCGACCGGTAAACAGAGAGCTTTGCCTTCAGGCTCAGCTGCTTCCTCTTCACTACAACGCCTGCATTACCGCTGCTGCTGCAACAGACCGCCTGTTGATCTCAAGCAAGACCCCAAGATACTTAAACTCCTTAATTTGAGACAGAGACTCACTCCCCCACCTTCAAACATAACATACACAAGTCTAAAGGGGTTTCCTCAAAACTTCTCATTCAGATAGTTTTGCCATTCATTTCTTCTGTTCCTGCAGGTGTTAACATTTGGTTGGAGGAGGACATCCGGTGGGCGACCCCATGCACACAAGAAAGGTGTGCTTTGACGCCGTCTCCCACAGCAGCCCCGTCACCCTGTACGACTGTCACGGCATGAAGGGGAACCAGCTGTGGCGCTACAGAAAGGTACGGGGGGAGGGGCACTGGGTTTTGCTCAGTTGTTACAGGCAATGGAACGCTGGACCAGTTAGACGCATTTCTGAAAATATCTTTAACTTTTGCATCATACCTTTCTTAAATAATACTCAGCCTACCGTCTCCTCCTCCCTCCAGGATAAAAGTCTGTATCACCCCGTCAGTAACAGCTGCATCGACTGCAGCCCGAGCGAGCGGCGAGTCTTCATGAACGCGTGCGACCCGTCCTCCCTGAGCCAGCAGTGGCTGTTTGAGAGAACCAACGCAACCGTGCTGGACCACTTCAACCGGGGCGCCAACTGAGGCAATCAAGTGGTAAGATGACCAGGATGTAAAATAAAATAAAAAAAAACATTTCACACACAACAACAACAACAACAACAATTAAAAAAAAAAAAAAACAATTTTTTTTACAATTTTTTTTATAAATAAACCGTCCTCTGTGAGACGTCTGATATGTCTGCTTGTGTTTTTGCTCTCGTCCAGATCACAATCCAAACTAGAGGTGAACACTGTGCTGCTTCAGCGAAGTTCCTCATGGCTCTGCGGGGGATCTGGTGCACGGGCTGAGAGCTGAAGAGACCGCACGTTATCAACATCCAGATTACAGTCGTACAGCACGAGTCTGTGATGAGGAAGGAGGTGAAAGAGAAAACATGCTTAAATCAAATTCACGTTCAAGAATACGTCTGTCATTGACTTCCTGTTTTCTGTCCTACAACAGGATGGGAGAGCCGTGGTGAAACCTGATCGTCCTGCACAAACGGAGCACTGACACCCTGATCTTTGGACATCACGTGTTTCTAAGTGTTGGGACTTTGTGAGGACGCTCCCGTCTTTCTCATGTGACTCCCTAAAACACAGACTCTGTAGGACTCAACAGATTGTCTTTTACAACGCCTCTTTCATCACATCTTTTTCAACTGTTGCCTTAGCATTTCCAACAATAGGAAATACCAGCCCCCCACCCCCCTTGTGCAGAGGTACCTTGGTAGCATATTGTGTGGACTGATTCTGCAGCTTTAACTCTGTGAGAGCTGGAGGAAACATTCGAAAAACTGTAAAGAAGTGTTCCTGCAAAGCGCAACAAAGTCTCTGTCTCTGTCAGATCAACAACTTGTACAAACTCGTATCCAAAGTTGCAAATGTTTATTTTTCTACTGAGCAATAAAGTTATAGATCAAATCTAAAAAACGTTTTGCACATTTTATTTTTATATATTATGAAGCATTTGTGCTCTGGGACGAAAAGCGCTGCGCCTCCCTCCTGTCTCCATGACAACAGTCTGTTGACAACGGTTACCGCTGTGTGAGCGACCCGGCTCTGTTTTTTATTTGAGATCGTTTATTTCTCTGATCAGACACGGAGCGAGGAGGATGTGGGTACAAGACACGATCTGTTGGCGGCAAAACAAGGGGGAATATCAAACATTTGGAAAAGAGCACCGGTGACTTCAACAACATCTTTCTGAAAAGTTTAACGATTTTGTACTGGAGCATTCAGAGGGCTGCACAGAAAAGGTAGAGCGCTTAGAAAAATGACCCTGGGCACTGAGGTTTTTCTCCAGGTATCCATCCTTTGCTGCAAAAACTCTCTACTAAAAAAAGACGCTCAGAATAAAAACGCTAGGTAGAGATGAGGCCTCATTTGTCACATAAAAGAGTGGATAACAGTTATAATGGGGATAACATTTTCATTGTTATAAACGTTTGTTTGAAAGAGTTGGATTGTTGATTAAGAAAACGTCAGAATTCTCCATCTTTACTTTCTGGCCGAGCTGGTTAAAGGATTTCTACGCTTCATAAAAGCCGGTTAAATTGGGAACCAGCACCACTTAGTTCGACTGCAGAGGAACGGTGAGATTTACCAGCTCTAGACCAGGCTCGCAAAGGAAGAGCGCTCCAAAGCTGTTACATAGGGGAGAGGAGGTGGACCCACATTTAGTAACTGAATCTAAATGAGATCAACCGCTTCTTCACTCACATGATCGTGCAACAAAGATTGTAAAGACTTTCTGAAACATCTTTGGTTCACAGTGACAATAAGGCAAAGCAAGTTTATTTATGTCGCACATTTCAACAACAAGGCAATTCAAAGAGTAAAAGTTTAAAATCTTATTAAAGCTGTTTAATTAAAGACAGCTGTGAACAGGTGAGTCTTCAACCTGGATTTAAAAGAGCTGAGAGTTTCAGCAGACCTGCAGTTTTTCTGGGAGTTTGTTCCAGATATAAGGAGCATAGAAACTGAATGCTGCTTCTCCATGTTTGGTTCTGATTCTGGGGACAGACAGCAGACCTGTCCCAGACACTGAGCCCCCTCCACAGTGTAATGGAGCCCTCAGGTGTGTGACTCAGCACCTGTACGGGAGCAGACATTTTATTGGAGATGTGATAAAGCAGGGGGTCAAACTAACTCACCCCCCAGGCTCAGCGGGGTGGGGGGGGGGGACCTGCACAGCCAGCCAACATTTCCACACAAAGGACAGCAGCTGCTGAGGTCCACAGATCATTTGCCACTTCCACTTTTCTCTTATTGATGGAGTGAGTCATCAACCTGAGTGGAGAATCCAATACTCAGAGAATGAGTCTGCAGATATTGGCTGTCTGATGCCATCAAGGTCACACAAACAAACGCTTGGTGCCAATGCAGGACCTGCTCCAACTTTTTCTTTCTTTCAGGCTTCAGGTTTTTATTCCACTTAATGTTTTTGTCCTAAAGTGGAAAGAGAGAACTTTTGGGACGCTCTGAGATGCCGTGTGAAAACCAACATCAGCACCTTTGACTGACGAGGTAGAACAGCTGATAGCTGCTTTAGAGAATACGAGGTTGAGGATAACAGGAAGTGGACGGTTAAGAAGACGGTTAAGAGCCGGATAACAAACCGGGAAGGAACATTACAGGTGAGACTAACGACACAGGTGAAGAGAATCAGGGCGATCAATATGAAAGGAAACAATGCAAAGAGAGGAAGTAAGACAAAAAACACAGGGGACAAGAACTACAAAATAAAACAGGAAACACTTAAGACACACTCAAGAAAGTAAAAGTATCAACAAACACAGGATGTAGATAAACACGAGGATATGAACTACAAAATAAAACAGGAAATACCAAAGACTAAGCCGGGAAACAAGAAGCACAAGGACACAACTGAGAAAATAAAAACAGAAAATCACAACCAAGCAACCCTCAATCAGGATTTTTCTTTTTTTTTAAGAATATTTTTTTTCTCCTTTAATGGAGAGATAGGACAGTGGATAGAGTCAGAAACCAGAGAGAGAGGACAGTGGATAGAGTCAGAAACCAGAGACAGAGAGGACAGTGGATAGAGTCAGAAACCAGAGAGAGAGAGAGGACAGTGGATAGAGTCTGAAACCAGAGAGAGAGAGAGGACAGTGGATAGAGTCAGAAACCAGAGAGAGAGAGAGGACAGTGGATAGAGTCAGAAACCAGAGAGAGAGAGGACAGTGGATAGAGTCAGAAACCAGAGAGAGAGAGGACAGTGGATAGAGTCAGAAACCAGAGAGAGAGAGAGAGGACAGTGGATAGAGTCAGAAACCAGAGAGAGAGAGGACAGTGGATAGAGTCAGAAACCAGGGAGAGAGAGAGGACAGTGGATAGAGTCAGAAACCAGGGAGAGAGAGAGAGGACAGTGGATAGAGTCTGAAACCAGAGAGAGAGAGGACAGTGGATAGAGTCAGAAACCAGAGAGAGAGAGAGGACAGTGGATAGAGTCAGAAACCAGAGAGAGAGGACAGTGGATAGAGTCTGAAACCAGAGAGAGAGAGGACAGTGGATAGAGTCTGAAACCAGGGAGAGAGAGGACAGTGGATAGAGTCAGAAACCAGAGAGAGAGAGGACAGTGGATAGAGTCTGAAACCAGAGAGAGAGA